AATAAAATTAATAAAAAGAAATAATATGTACTTCACAATGATGTTATTCAGATACAAGATGCTAAGAAGCAGCTATGAATCTGTTTAAAAAAAGAAAGGTCTTTGCCTATTGTTTTCAATACCAGTTACCTTAGTTTTCTGAACATTAATTTTATAATACAGATGGAAAAAATGGGTCATATTTATAGTTCAATTTAAATGGAGAATGCAGAACGAGTTATTCTCAGTCTAAAAGCAAAAAACAAACAAAAAACAAGAAAAGGCCAGCAAGGATTAGAGAAACACTGCTGCTTTCATATTCCTTAAAAAGCACAATAAAATAGAGTGGGAGTAAAATAGATTTCAATGCTAGTTTCCTTTGGAGCAGTTAATTCAAATTTGTTTCTTCATTTACATTTTAAACACTTGTCTTTCTCTTACCCCAAACCACCCCAATATGGATCCCATTTAGAGATTAGGCAACAATCAATGTAGAGTAATTCATAACTTACTTTTATATTAAAAGATATATCTATTAAAATTATATGCTACCTTGCATATTTAAAACATATATAAAAGCTATACAATGAAACTATAAATCTTCACTGCAATATATGTTAAGACCCTAAATAATTCAGCAGACATTTTCAGCATTGGGAGATTTAACTATGTAAACATAATCAAATCTCTCTGACTCCATACTCATTCAATCAAAATCACAGAAGAATTTCCACAGGCCTGCTAAATGATATATTTTAAATGTCAAAAAAAAATCTTTAAAATCTTTTAAATAAATGTGAAATAAAATAATATTAAGACAGGCCACAAAATGTATAGAAAGGTTGAAGGCATAACAATGATAGATGATTAATCAATATTTTTTACTAACTCACAGAAAAAGTTTGTCTCTTACTGTACATCATAAAAATAATATTCTCTATTGAAATTCTCTAAATTGAAGTTAGAAGTAGAATTTTGCAGAGTAATTCTCTTTATATAAAATTACATAAAATTTTTGCCATAATGGTAGCACTTTAAAGTTAAAATGAACAGATTTATTCACTGTTTTGCATGATTATTTCTTTAAAAGACTATTAACAGTTGATTCTTACTGGTATATTCTCCTTCTATTATTAATATATCTTATATTTAAAATGTTTCAGTGAAATAACATGAAGAGCTCTGAGAATAAAAATACATGGATTCAAGTTTATAGATTATCAAATTTAATAACTATAAATAAAAATAACTATCAATAAAATCTGCAAATTCATATTGCCAACTATTAAAGGTTTATATATCTTAAGACAAACTAACCAGTATAAGGTGAAATGTGATTTTCAAGTGATAGTATTTGGAAATGCTTTGGTGTGTATCTTACTCCTCTAAAGTCTAAGAGCAGCCCATTGTTGAATGGTAATTACTACAACCTGCACTCTATTTCTCATTTTGCTTACATATTTTTTTCTCAGTTCAATAATATTTGATATATGCAAAAATATGTACAAAATAAGTGTGAAGGTTAAAAAAAATAAACACATCCCTATATTACGAAGAAAACATTGTCAATAACTTACACTTAGTTTTGCTTGGTTTTTGAGTTTCACAATAAACGTGCATGTGGTATATGGTGTTTGGAATTCTTTTAGCTAGACTTCATTGTGATTTTCTGATTCATATATTTTACTACAGATTGCTGCAGTTCATTTAATTTTTCACAGTTACTTGTATTTTTTTAAATGTATATTTAATGGACATACACTACACTGTACATACTTAAATTATATAATTTGATAACTGCCCATAAAACAATCCCCCCAATCAAGATAATGAATATTTACATCATCACAATTTCTCATTCTCCTGGTTAATTGTTAGCTCCAATTCCTCCCCAACTTTTTATTTACTTTGCGTATTCAGAATTCCATAAAATCACATCATACATGGTTATTCCTTTTTGACTGGCTTCCTTGACACAGAATAAATATTTGAGACATAAGTATATTATTCCATGTATCAATATGTTTTATTACTTAGTAGAATTTTATTGTTAATACAATTTATCATTCACCCGTTGGTGGCATTTAGGTTATGTCCAGCTTCTAATGATTATAAAAAAGCTGTTAAGAATATTTTTGCACAATTTTTTAGAAGAACATATTTTATTGTGGGGAGATAAAATCCTAGGAGTAGTGTTCCTGGATTATATAATAGGAATATATACATTATTTAACACACTGGATTTGAGGTTGAGTAAAATTCAGCATTCCAGAGAATGACTCAGAAATCATTCAAAATTTAGAAGATCCAGTACTGAAGATGCAAACAAAGTCCCCAGTGTGACAAGAAAAGAATTGGGACAGTGCTGGAGTATTAGTAATTTTTATACTCAAGAAATTTATTCCCCTTACCCTCAAATTTTCTCACCCATAAAATGAAAAACAAAAAACAAACATACACAAAATAATGCTGATTGCATGACTCCTTTTTTTATAACTAGCAATAATAGAAAAAAAATGTTGCAGTTAAACTTGGAAAAATTTATTGAAATCGACACTCATGATTTGTATCCTGTTCTTTTATACCTGAATAAATCAGAGTATATACAGCTCTGTTATTTCCTGTGCATTTACTATCTATGTTAACTGAAGCAGTTTATTAAAAGTGGTCTGTGTGAACTCATCTATAAAAGGTAAATAAGAACATACAGATATTTCATAAGATTACTGGAAAGATTATGAGAACCCACACAAAAGCACTTATATATTCTCTAGTAAAATATAGACATTTGTATTAATATAATAAAATGTTATAGTTTTGATTAAATAAGATCCATTTACCTTTTTAATTATTTCCACCATAAAAAGGTAAAATATTTGAAATGCAGTTTGATATCGCATTATTGTCTACCGAAATCATTCAAAGTGACACAATCTTATATTTTGGGGTATATGCATTGTCTTGGATTCATACAAGCAGCCCAAGATACTCAGGCCCTGTTCCACAGTGCATACCAGAACATATTAAGAACTGCTGAGCTAAATTGTTAGTTTATTTTTGTTAAATTTATTGACCTTAAAGCCATCTGTCCTGAACTGAAATGCTCCAAATTGTCAGTAGTTACTTTATTTATGTGTTAATGAGTGATGTGCCATATATATTACACCAAATATATAGGCATAAGTGGTCCCAAATTAGTCATATTGGACCCTTCTCTGTTTAAGTTCTGGGTCATAATAAAATTTGCTTAGTCTCTGAAAAGATTGATGACCAGATGTGCACTGCAGCTTAGATAAAATATACAATCTGCTTGGAGTAAATGAAACCAAATTCTTTCAGCTCTTAGTGTATTCATATGATACACTCATTCCAATGCCATTAAATGATTTTTAAATATTTAAGATAATAAATATATATAAAGTAAAAAAATATCTCCTGTGTAGGCACTGAAGACAAACATATCAATGGAGTTGAAGAGATGCCTCAGCCAACTGTAACCTTTCATCTCCATAATGTCTAAACACTATTGTTGATTAGCATTACTATGCAATATTCTGCCTTTCAAAAATTATGTATGTACCAAAAACATGTGCACTGTGTCTATATAGGCACATATTTATTTATGACTGAATATTTACAGAAATCCATTTAAATTAAAAAATATGCAATGTATTGATGACATTTATTGACATGATCATGTAAATTGTTTATTTTTATGATTCTGAAGTATGCCTGAAGTCGTTATATTATCTGACTGTTGCTTTAGTCACATTTCATCCACTATGACTACTTACTTTTGCATTTTCATTTTGCTCTTAATATCCCAAAGCCATGAGTTTGTATTTTTTTAACCCAAAGATGTCAAACAAGCCAGACAGTAGACATACTTTGTTTTCTACATTTATTTTTAATTTCTTTTTCACTTTATCTGGGAATATAAGATATACAACATTTCTATGAGAAATATAGTTGTATATAATTAAATAATTTTAAGAACTGTCTCAGAAGTCACACTAATAGGTGCAATTTTAGTTTTCAGCGTTCAAAAATTAAATACACCTCTGTTGAGTAAATCCATCTGTGGTACTGCAATTGGAAAGAATGGGTGTGCTAAAAACAAGAAATGAGAAAGAAAAGGGGAGCATAATCTAATTTTTTTCTCAAACTGTATCATCAGGAATACAGTACTTGGTGAACATTCACCTACATCAATTAAAAACAGTGCCAGAGGGCCAGGGATTCAGCTCAGTGGTTCCTGCACCTGCCTTGCAAGCACAAGGTCCCGAGTTCGATCCCCAGTACCCCCCCCCCAAAAAAAACAGAGCTAGAGTCAGGTATGTTGGCTCATGCCTATAATCCCCACTACTCCAGAGGCTGAGGCAGGAGGATCACAAGTTTCAGGCCAACCTGGACAATTTTTAAAGGTGTGAATCTATTCTATAATTACTATAATGGTGGATATATAGAATATTCATGTGCACAAGCCCATAAATTGTACAATCCCATGAGTGAATCCTGATATAAACAAGGGCCTCTAATAATGAGGTGACAATATAGGTTCATCAATTTTATAAACCCATTATTGTGGTGGGTGTGTCAAAAATGGCAGAGGAGTTGGACTCTCTGAGTAGGGAAGGGGGTTTATAAGAAATGTCTTTATTTTTTGTTCAATTTTCCTATGAACATAGAACTTTAAAAAAAATTGTTTTAAAAGATTCAATTTAGTAACAAGTGACCAAAAAACACATAAACATTATGTCAGTAAATTTGAAAATGTATATACTTTTAAAATCCTGGAAAACACAACTTAAGGAAAACTAGCCCAAGAACAATTTAAAATATAGTAGTCCTATATCTACTAAAACAACTCACAATTAATTATGAAGCTTAACTATATAAAAATATTAGTCCAATTAGCTTAATTTTTACTTTAAAAGGAAAAAATACAAACATTTATAAAAATATTTTGGAAAACACAAAAATAAAAAAATTCATCACAATTCATATTTTAAGGTTTGTGTAAAGTTAATATCAATATTTCATGCATTTTAACAAATAAAAATTGTAGTCAATCTCCTTTAAGTCTGTTGATGCAATGATGATCCTAAAAAAATAGAAATTTAAGTATATTAATGAGAGAATAATGTATCCAAAATGATCACATTTAAAGACTTCAGTATTGATTAAGCATTTCCCGATAAATCACATGATGTTCTTGATAATTGAACATGTTTTCAATGAATCCAACACAAATTTAGGACTTATAAATTAGAACAACATGCATATATCTAATAAAAATTATCTATAATCAATATGAGAAAATTTTATGTTCATGAAAATACACATAAATTTAAAAACTTTTCCTATTTTCACTCACCAAAATGTAGATCAAGGCAGACCTCTTATTCAGAGCATTGATTCAATATTTTTATGTGGGGATAGCCAGTACAATATGGGACAAGAAAACGGAAGAAGGATTGAGAAAACAATAAGCTCTACTAATTTAAGAAAATTAATTTTAAAATTATATACTTATAAAAATTGGAAATTCCTTTATTGAAAAGTAACATTTAAACATTTAAGTAGTGAAAAACAAATCAAGAAAATATTATTATTATATATTCCAGACATATATAAATAACAATTGCAGTTTTAGATATATATTCAAAATAAAGCCACATGAGCACATGTCCTTTTGGAAGTCATATACCAGGAAGTCATAATATCCAGAGGAACATTACTCCTAATAGGCACAAACAGGGTACACCAAATACCAAACATCAGTAAAATACTAATTATCATATTAGGATATATTCATATAAAGAATTATTCTGAAAAATTGAAAACAAATAACTGTCATATAGAGCAATACTGACAAAGCTCACAAAGATAAGTTAAACAAAAGTTGTCTTATGTTTTATACATTTTTTGGCCTGCTAGTCTGGCTGTTAATCTGTATGTATGAAAATTTAACTTTCTAGGACTCATAAAATAAATAATGCAGAAAAGAGTGGGTGGAGGGGAAAGGGAAATAAAGGAATTGAGATATGTTGTGCGTGGACATTCTCATGTGTGACAAAATTTTGTCAAGTCATAAGTTTTCCTGAAATCAATTACTGGTCAAGGAATTAAATCTGGTAAAACAAGTTAAACATGGTTGACATCGAGTTTTTCCTAATATTGATTTCTATCGTGCTTTTTGAATACATTATTGTTTATGCAAACTAATGTAAAATTACTCATACCAATCACATTTTTGTTACATCCAATATTGCACAAAAAAAATCTAAGAAAATCCACTAGACTACGGTCTGCTGAAGGTTCTCCATAAAAATCTCTAAAGTATTCTTAGATTGGTCACGCAGAAGACGTCAAATAACCCCGCTGCAGACAGGCAGGTCTGTCCATGCCCTACGGAGGTCCTGGGTTGCACAGAACACATCAAATCAGCCCACTACAGAATGCAGCCACGTGGTTCCACACTACAAAGACGCAGAGGACACCAGACCACCAGACCACCAGACCAAGGCACTGAGTCCCGCTGTTCCCGGCCCAGAGGTAAGGGCTTCTGAGCCATTGTCCCAATGCTCCCAGCGGTCACCATCCCTCCTGCTGCTCCCAGCCCAGAGGAAAGGGCTTTTGGGCCACCTTCTGTCCCACTGCTCCTGGCCCACAGGAAGGGGATTCCAGGCCACCATCCCTAGCACCGCTCCCAGGCCAAAGGTAGGGGCTTCTGAACTGCCATCCCACTGCTCCTGGTCCAGAGGAAGGGGCTTCCCTGCCAGCATCAATCCCGTTGCTCCCAGCCCACAGAAAAGGGCTTTTGGGTCACCATCCCTACTGCTGCTACTGGCCCCTGTCCCACCTCACCCAGCTCAGAGGAGGTAATCCGTGTAGGCACTAACAGCCCCCCTCCCCAGTCAAAATGAGAAAACACATAAATAAGTCCCAAAACCAGACTTCCAGATCACCTACAGCAACCCCAAAGGGAAATGAGATGGAACACTCTGGTACTCAACCATCTGGATCCACTGAACT